TCCGTCTTTGACTTTTTGACCAATCGATTTATTGTTTGAATTTAATGGACTCTCATACTATAAAGAGTTGTGATTCAATCTTAAAAAATGTCATTCTTGTTAAAAAGAGCAACATTAGCGTTTTATACTTAATCGGTGTAAGATTTATTCATCAAGAACTTTAGTGTTTTTAAATTCTTACAAGTTCTTTATTTATAAAATGTGTGTTAGAATTTTGGTGTGACTCAAATTCCTTATTGAAGTAATTGAAAAATTCTAATTGAAGTGTACATCAAGAATAATTCAGTTTGGAATGTTATAGAGTCCTAAGTCAAGTTGAAATTTTATTTTGGAAGCCCATTGGGAGTTGTAATTTGTTTTGAACTCGACTTTTTGATATCCTACTTCATCAACAACTCTACTAGGAGGGTTTGGACATCCCCTATATGTTCCCTATAAATATTAAGCTCTTCTATACAATTTTATAGTGTGAGAAAATATATTACTAGAATTATAGGATTTATTGCATTTTTTCTCTCTTCTCCATTATTTTTGAGTTAATAAAATCTCTTAATTCCTCTATCATATTCTTGTTTTTATTATTCTTTACTTGATCATATACTTCATTATTATTTGCCATATAACTTCAACATCTCAATCCGGTGGTTGTTTCACAACAAGTGGTATCTGATCCTAGATTTAGCAGTTCCGTAAGAACACATGGTTTAATTTGTTCGAAGTTTCTGTTCATGATAGCTTCCATGAAGTATGACATTCCACTTTTGGATCAGAGCACTAGATTTTTGATATGACGGTTAAGATGCGTACGGTACTCACACAACTGGATTTGGGTGATGCATTGCTGGAAATTGACAAGATGTCGGTAACTTTGACCGCATGGGAGAAATTACGGAAGGAAAGAAGGCAGTTTCTCACTTTCATCTTAATCTATCGAATACCATTCTTCATGATATTTTGAAGGAGAATTCAACAGCTGCTTATGGTTGAAGTTGGAGAAATTGTGCATGACTAAAAGTCTAACAAGCAAGTTGAACCTCAAGCAGCGTTTATACTTTCATCGAATGGTAGAAGGAGGATCATTAGAAGATCACCTGGCTGTATTTAAGGAGATTGTCGCTGATTTAAAAACTCTGGAAGTAGAGTATGATGAAAAAAATTTAGCCTTGATCATATTGTGTTCGTTGCTTGCTTCATTTTCTTCATTTAGAGATACGATCTTGTATAGTCGTAATACTATCACCATAGAGGAAGTGATGATGCTTTGTATTCAAAGAGAATATGAATCATCTGGTTTCTGATGCCAGAGATGGAGAAGACCTGGTTGCTCATAGTGGTTCTGGAAAGGACATATCAAAATCTAAATTCAGTAATCAAATTTGTAATTACTGCGAGAAGAATGGGCACTTAAAGAAGGATTGCTACAAATTGCAGAATAAAGAAAGGATGGCTGCAATTAGATATTCTGATACTTCAGGCGAAGCAGACCTCACGGAGAACGTTGTAAGTGACGGAGATCTCTTAGTTATTTCTGACATTGA